CGCCCTAGGGAGGGGCCAAAGAAACGCGTAGAGGGAGGGGCTAATAAGAAACATAAGCACGTGTAGGCCAAGGAAAGAAAATCCCTTTGATGACAAGCCAGCCTGCTGAACACGATGGCGCCCCTCGTCGCAGCGTCGCGCCTGGCGCCGAAACGGCGGGGCCTGGTAGCGGCCGCCAGCGGCCGCGACGCATGTGCAATTCTCCATCCTATCCCCCCTCTCTCTCTGTCTCGCGATTTTTCCGAGTGTGTCGGAGTCTCGTCAGCCCCTGGCGCCGCTGTCGCGACGATGGCGGTCCTCCTTGAAACGGACCATGAAGCGCCATGCGGAGTGTGGAAAATGGAAAATGCCCATTGCCAGTCGGCTGAATGCCCTGCGCAACGCACCGAGACGACGCCCAGAAAACAGAGCGCGCCGGCATGCGGCGCTGGCTACCTTGCACCAGGCTGTCGTAATAGTCTGCTGTAGCAGGAAGATAATATTGCAATAAACGATTGGCTGGGTTACGCAATGCTTGCGCCGTGTCTCTCAAATCTGAGCGCCCTTTGTCATGTGGGCATTCGCGCATCTACTTCAAGCTTGACGGCCCAGCTCGGGGGGGCACGAGCCCAGCCTTAGCCCCAGGGGGCACCCGGAGCGGGGGCTGGTGCAACTTCGCCTCGTGCACGTATACTTTCGCGAAGCAAAAAGCATCGCTAGACCCTGGTGCGCCCGCCGTGGCGGCCCGCCGCGCTCGTCGGTCCTGCAGCGGTTGCGGCCCCCCCGAGCCTCGGGCAGACGCGGGGGGAGCTTGCGCCAGCAGGCTGCAGGCGCCCCCCCCCCCCCCCGGGCCGTCGCGGCGCGCGGCGCGCTGCAGTGGGGGGAGTTTGTTGCGGACGAGGGAAAGACGCGGAATTGTTCTTAAAGCCAGCAAGATTGGGTAACATTGGGATTAGCGCCATTTTGAAAATTAGCGCCGTTGGGCTATGTTTTCTTATCAACTATTACCCCTGACTGATCCCCCTGCTGCTGCTGCCGCTCGTTGTTGCTGCCCCAATGCCGCTGCGGCTCGAGCTGCTGGCTGGGCGCAAGCTATCATTCGGAGCTGAATGCAAACGGCGCTAAGACTACCAGCGATGGGGCCAGCAGACTGCTGGGGGTGGTTGCTGACGCAGGGGGCAAAAACAAAAACAATTAGGGCGAATGCTGCTGTCACTTGGCAGTTCGCCGACAGCCCTTGGGGCAATGAGAGTGGCCATTGGGTGGGTTCCCGGGGTGCCGATTCAGCAGCTACCCAAGCGGCTTGCGAAGATGGGGCCGGGCTGAATGGCACTGCTTTCGTTGCCGCGACAGCGAGACCATCGCGGTGGTCTTCAAAAGGAGGGGGGGCTACGACGAGGAACTGTGCCAGTATACTCCAGCAAGGGCGTGTACCGGCGCGCGCGCCGTGCGATGATCCTCTGAGGCTCGGTGCTAGGAGGGGGCTAAAAGGCAGCGCATTTCAAGCAGGCGCGCTGAGCTGCGCCTCGAAACCAATCCTCATTTATCGTCGTCGGCTCCTGGAGATTTGAAAATAGACGGGAAATTGGAAGTGCTCTATGGGGGTAGTGGCCCCATGTAACAGGAAGGGGCCCATGAGGAAGCCCCATGTCGCCAGGGGGATGCTAAGCCCCACGTAATGACAACGCCCATCCATGTAGGCCCCACCATGTTATTTAGCCCCATGTGAGCGCAGATGGCTGGGAAATGAGAACCCCATGTAAGCCAAGTGTGATCCCCATGCCGAATGCTCCTGGGCTACTAGGCGCGCGTCGTTGCCGTTCCGCTCTTGAATCAGGTGGACTTTTGCGCGCAATGCAGCGCATCTACATCATTTCCGCTTCTCTACAAAGCCTAAAGGGTTGCGATTTTCCAAACCTTTCCAGATTGCCACTGGACCTTCGGGACAATCTTCTTGGACGATTTCCGGGGAATTGAAATGCAATGGCGGCGCTAAAACAGGAAAGCCCCTGCACGTACGCTCATGCAGAGAAACTGAAGGCCGCTGGAGCGGGAACGAAAAACTGGGCAAGTCCCAGGGCCCCGGCCCGGCCGGCCCGGCGCTGCTCCAGGCGCCAGAAACCGACCGGGCTGAGCCGGTCCAGAACCGAATTGGAGTGACAGTGCGGACCCCCGATGGGTCCATGTGGGATCCTTGGGACGTCGTCGGAATTCAATTGACTTCCAAGCGACGCTTTAAGGATTTAAACCCTCAGCCCGCAACGCGTAAAAAATAGCCGGCTAGCCTGCCCAGCCCCGGGTGAGGAATCCAGACCCAAACTTCTGGCGAATCGCTGTGCTCTAAAACAAAATCCATGAGGGCTTCGGTTCGATCCAAACTGGAAGGAGGACGGAGAGGCGAGCAGAGCGAACGGACCAAGTTTTTTGAACATACAGATACCGATCTTACTTCGGACTACGAACTGAGAGCCTTATTGTGGATTCCTAGAGATTCGCTAGAGCCACCGCCATGCGTCACGGGCACACCCAACAATTAGGCACACCACCCTCACACGTTTCATAGCTCTTAGAGAACTCCAACGAAGGTCACCATTCACCGTCCGCATGCGTCACGCACGCCCAACTACTTCGGCGCGCCAATCACACGTTTCGAAGGCCCATTAATTGCCACCGCCGGAAAGCCCCACGCACGCCAATTCGGCACACCCCTCACGCGTTTCGAGGCCCCAGTGGGAGCTCCACCGAAGGCCCCGCGCCACTGCCCGCGCGACGGAGACGGAGGACCTGAGCACGTAGAGGCGGACAACGAACGGACCAAGTCTAAGTTCTCGAGTTCTGCGCATGGAATCTGGATATCGAACATGTGGGGTGGTCGTCCCACGTCGCCTCCGGCCGGAGATTTTTCGGCTCGAACCCGCCCGTCGGTCTTCTCCTAGCGTCGCCCAGTTCGGCCGCCGCGATGGCCAGAAACCAAGGCGCCAATCTTGGGGCGCGGACGAGGCGTCTCGGAGGCGGGGCTCTCCTGAGGAATCCTCGAGGCTCGTGCTGGAGAAGCGAGGACACATAAATCCTCGAGGGTCCCGTGCTGCAGAGGGTGGGGACAACGAATCCTCGAGACACTCACCGTGTCGGTCGGCGAGTCGGGGAGAAGCGAACGGCAGCGGAAACTCTGGTTAGTCAGCCTGCATCCTGTTGCCGTGTGTTGGACCTCTGGGCGGCCCCGGGGCGCATGTCAGGGTTAGGCCCACGCGATGCGATGGTGCGACGCTTGGGAAACAACGAAGGCGCTGATTTTCATCGACAGCGGGAGACTGGCAAAGGCGCAAATAATCGACTTGCGTGGCAGAGGGCGGTGGAAACCAAGCGTGTCTGAAACTCTGGGCCAGACTTCACACACTGGAAGGAGCTCAGACGGGACGTGCCTGGCGCTAAGTTTAAGCTCAGAATGGCAAGTTCATTTTGGAGCTGGAGTGCAGGGCGAATCAGAATCAGCGAGAGGCGATGCGACACGCGGAGCAGCAGGTCTTGCAAAGGCTTTCATCTCCAGCAAGCTGTTCGGGGAGACTGCTGTCATCCACGACGAGGGGGAGTTGCTGGCGACCCGTTGATTATGGGAAACCGAAGGGGCGGAGGAGTCCAGAGGAGCCGCAGGCCCCTCCTCAGGATAGTGGCGCGCGCGTGGGGCTAGCCTAAGCGTCGAGTCAGCCTTCGGGGGACGCCGTCGTCGCGCGATGGACGACCACGTGTTGCCTGTTCTTAGTCTGGGGCAAACTTCGTAAGAAATTGGAAGCTCGGCGCG